ATATATATATATATATATATATATATATATATATGCTAACATTCAAAAGTTTGGGGTCAGTAAGATTTTATTTTAAGAAATTAATATATTTATTCAGCAAGTTAAATTGATCAAAAGTGACAGTAAAAACATGCATAATGTTACTAAAATGTTTCAAAGAAAGTTGTTCTATAGTCCCAGTACTCAAGAATATAAGCTGATCATTAGCATTATAGCACAAAACATATAGGCTGTCTGCTTGCCATTTAGCAACTGCTTTTATCCAAAGTGACTTAAAGCATACCTACTGATGGGAGAGGATTACGTACTTGATTCAAGGGCACTTTGATGATGGGGGCATCACTGCAACTCTCCAGTTTATCTATAAGCCTCTTTCAGGTAAATGCCAGGTAAAAGAGCACAAGCTTTCAGGGAGATGTCTATTTAATTTGATGAGTATGACTCAGTGATGGACCAGAGTGACTAAAAATGATGGCGTGATGCATATGCAAACGCTTCATTAATCAAGTGTAAGATTCATCACCAAAAGCCTTTGTGTTTCACATCAATCCATGCTGAGGAGTGCTTTATATACTTGTAGTTGATATTCTTAAATGTTGAGTGATTGATAACAGCAGTTACATGGTAACATTTTTGCTGGTGAATCACAATGAGATGTAAAGAAAGACGCATCTATCCAGTCAATTGTATCTGTTATTCTAAAGACACCGTTCCCACCTTTCTCGCAGAAGATGGAGCTGGAAGCGGTTGGCCAGCTTCATCAGGTTGATGAGCCTTTTTTTTCAGACATTAGCAACAAAGTCTGGAGTATTTATGAACATTAATTTCAAAATTTGTACTTACCATTTAACACCTTTTTGAACATAATTTCCAAAATAAGTCCTAAAAAAAATCTCATTACCGCAACAGTCTGAAAACATCAACACCCATCCGTGTACGCCCAGCGCAGCATTGCCATGGCAACCTCTGGTTTGGCATCTAGGAAGTCACATGGGGAAGCACAGGAAAGAATCCAACAACAGGTTCAGTTTTGAGGGATCTGACGCTGTTGCATACTGCATTAGAACAATAAGGAAAAAACAGCCAAACAACAAAATCTTGACATCCTCCATTTCAAGTGCAGGTTTTAGGAAACAAAGAAGCCATTGTTACCTGAGAGGTCCAGTTCTGAGGTGGAGGCCAGGTTGGCTAAGCTCCAGATTTCACTCCGAGAAGCCAGCACGAATTTATGAGCACTGAGCCTCTGCTCTCCAATCTTCACCTTCAGATCACTAGGAGAAAAAAAAAAACACTGATCTTGTCATACTGACTTTACACAGCATTCCTGTGAAATATGCAAAATTTGATGCATTATAGCTAATGTATTATGCAATGGTCTCAGTGAGGTCAGATCTGAGACAACAGTCTGGGCTCAAATCTCAGACGGAACATTCTGTAACCTCATAAGAACATGGTGCAATATGAAGAAATACAACTGTAATACAACTTCCTAACTTTACAGACCCAGCAGACATATGAAAACCCTTTCAGCCAGCTTTAAAGCACTTAGAAGCAAAACGAAACTGCAAATCAAAACTGTAATACCCGAGTGGCAGCAAATATTCAAATCAAGACAAAGTCACAGACAAACATAAGTATTTCAATAGCTGTGTGAATCTTATAAAAACCGACAAGAGTTTAACCAAAATGTCTAGGTCATATTTCACCACAAAAACCAAAGACAAAATAATATTTTGCATTTAATAAAGCCTGTCTTTAAGAATAGAAAAGCTAAAGATAAACGTCCCTCAAATTTTCATTACCGCTACACAACAAAAATTCTATATATACAATATATATATACATATACATATAATGTTATAAACCATGATGACAAGTATTGCAAGTATATATCATTTGGCATTAATAATCCATGCTGATTTTAATAAGAAAATAATTATACTTTATTACAGTAAATGCAATTTTTCACATACCGTGGAAAAAATAGGTTTTATTGTTAGGAAAAAAAGGAAAAGAAAACAACGACAAAAACACGTTTAACTTGTGCATCTTTTTATTTCTTTTTTTTTGCCTCTGAGGTTAATTATGACCTCATCTAACAGTATGTGTCAGTTCATGTCCAGTGCTCACCTGTACTGCTCCTGCTGATAAAGGTCAGCCACGATGGCCAGCAGGCGGCTGATGAAGGAGTCACTGGCCTGGGAGGTGGAGCCGGGGAGAGAGGCCTGGGCCACAGTCTGAAAACATCAACACTGTTAGAAAAGCAAATACATTTTCACATATTTAAAAATGGATTATTAATAGTCATGCGCAGTTAATTGAAATTCTGAAATAATATTTATATTTAATTTAACAGTTTTTTTATTTTTATTGATTTCTATCATTACCGCAACACCTTCCACAATTTACAACCATTTTTTGGGTAATATTTAAATGAAACCAGATATTTTTTCAAAATAACGTGACAAACCCGAAATAACATAATTTGTAGATTCTGCACATGCATTTAAAATCAAAGTACTATTTTTCTATTAATTAAATTAACATCTAATGAACATCTGTTGCGGTAATGATATATAGGTTTCGGAAATTAGGTTAATTATTTCGGTAATGATAATAAGTATACTAGTCTGAGATTAATACTGAGACTAGTATACTAGTCTGAGATAATGTAGAAAAAATCTGATAATATTTGCACAATCATGCATTCAAGTTCAAAACAGTTTTATTGTGTAGAAAAAATACAAAAGCCAAAAAATAAAAATTTAAGAAAAACATTAAAACAGGAATAAACAGGGCAACATTTCAACGTGTACCTAAAAAACATTAACCATTTTACCATGGCACTAAAAAAATAACTGACCAACAAGGACAAATACCACATTCTGATTTGTCAGAACTTGTCACATGTATATTAATTCTTAACAATCATGAAACCTCTGCTTCACTGTGTTGGGATCATCTTGGAGGTAGTATGCAAATGAACATCGTTTGGTGTCGGTGTTTTACACACATTTGTACTTTGCCCAGATCTCAGGCAACACACAGAAGTGTCGAGCTGAGGATGTGGCAGGTTGTGGTTCTGGAATGATGGCCTTTATGTCATCAAAGTAGTACCAGACCTTTTCTCCCTCGTATCGTATGGATGGAATGAACAATTTGTTTGGTCCAGCACAACTCATTGTGTCAACTTCATACTGACCATCTACAATCTAGAGAGTAAAAATAGATAAATAAATAAACAAATACATACACAAATAAATAAATGTAAGGATTTTTCATCAACAACAACACATCCATAGCACCAAATACTTCTTCATACCTGCGTGATGGTGCCAGGGAACAGTTCTCCGTCATATTGAACAAGGACCCACTTTCCTACTTCCAAAACTGACTCGGCGTTCTCCTTTTCTGACTCCACGTGGTCTCGGAAGTCAAACTCCTTTGGACTGAAACATTCACAGGCAAAATCACAAAAGCAGGACACTTCTCTGGTGTAGATAAGGCCTGGTTTTGTCGATGTCAGCTTAAAGAGAAAAGAAGGGTAATTTTGGATTGAATTACAGATATTAAATATTAAAGATATTAAATATAAACAGACATACTAATATCAAATAACAGATAACTAACATCTTTTAATCTTAAACTTCTCTCTTTTAGAGTTTTCAGGAAATTACCTAAATGAACCCACATAACTCTCTTTTTAGTTCCATCCATACTTATACTTACACAGTATTTCAGTACCTATTTTACTTTAGTTTTAAACCATCTCTTATTTACAGCTTTAAGAATATTTAATCCAGCAACTCTACATAAAAAAAACACCGCCTCTCCGTCTCCACCAGCTTCTGCTGCATCTTCACATACTCCTGCCTCAGCAGAGCAAGGTGCTTCTGCAATTTCTGCACCTCCTCTGCGGGCATGATGTGAATGATGAAGAGATGAGGAGCAAGAAGTGGAGAGATGACAAGAAGGAGTGGAACACAAGGAATAAGCACATGGGGTACAAGGAGAGAATAAGGAAAAATGGACAAGAATAAACCGTTAAAGTGAAAAGAAATGTGATGGGTAATGCAAAAGGAAAGTGGAAATGCCATGAAGAAGAAAGAGAGAGGGACAAAACACAGATTTCACATGAAAACTGCTGACAAAGACAGACTTCCTAACCACGCTCAAGGGAGGAGAAGTGGACCACTGATATGCGAGCAGAACTGTCTTTCTGTACTTTGACAAGTAAAAACACATTCAACATGGTATAATTCATGAACAACAACCACGAGAGTTCATATACACCCTCAGAATCCATCTCATTCCACTCAAACTAGGGCTGCACGATTAATCGAATGCGATTGTCATGCGCATTTTGATAGTAATGCCGGTTCTGTAATCAGCAGGAAATCATCATCACGTGCTTTCAGATGGAGCAGCATTTACTACACAGAGCCGTAGTTCACTGACAAGTTACGTAAAAAAAAATCGCAGATGATTTTATTGCGCGATTATGAAATCGAAGAAATCGTTCGCGATAATGACAGTTGTTTGCATAGCTTCTCAGTGAACTACGGCTCTGTGAAGTAAATGCTGCTCCATCTGAAAGCATGTGAAAATACCACATTTAATAACATATTTTTACTCCAAACTCACTTCATGGGTGATTCTCACGAAATCTTGGTTTTAAAAAATTTTAAGCATGAAAATTTAAAAAATGCTTAAATTAACCTTTTTTTTCAGACATTAGCAACAAAGTCTGGAGTATTTATGAACATTAATTTCAAAATTTGCTGTAGTCAACATGAACTACTACTTCATTCTGGGTAAGGGACTCTCTCAATTTCCTCAGTCTTTCAGACTGATGTTTGATGTTGTAAATGTGTCTTGAGAAGTTTGAGAGGTGGTCCTGTGTCAGTTCTACAAGCTTTTCGATGGAGGTATGTCTCTTCTCAAGAAAAACTTTCCTCACTTCCTTCTCTTCAGTGGGCCCATCTGTACCTTTTTTTGGTACAGATTTTGTAACCCACTCTTCCCATATTATGATGTTTTCTTTCAGTGAAGGATCCAGTGTTGTGGGAAATTTCATATTCTTGCAATTGCTGCATGTCCTGTACATGCAGGACATGTCATTGTCACTACACACACTGGCCTGCACAATGTCCCTTGGAGAGGATGTGGCTACGATTCCTAGCTGATGCAGCTTTTTTATCTTCAGGCCAAAATTTTCATGTGTTTTACAAGCACATGTTTCTCTATCTTTTACTCTACGGTGGACAATCCAAAATGGCTTAAGTTTACAGAACTGAGACATGGAAAGTTTGTGCCTTGGATTCTCAGACTGAAATCTTCTATGAAGATTTGCCATGTTGTCTGTCAAGGCTCTCTTGCGAAATATCTGGCCCTTTTTTCGAATTTCACCAAATTTGCCATTTATTACAGTCGAAACTTCATCTTGGTGAAAGAAGCGGCTAACAGTTCTGCGCATTAATCTTCTCTGGTTGTTGGGTAATATTCTTTGGTGACCTCTCTTTCTAGATTTTTGTTGGACCTCTCTGCCTTCCATGTTCACAAGTCCCAGCTTTCTCTCCCTCTTCTTAAGTCTTCTCAATCTTTTCCTTAGGTTTAAAGTCTCTTTAGTCCTGCCCAGAAGCTTCTCTTCCATGTAGCGCAACTTTTCCCTCAGTTTTGATAGTGTTTTTTTTCTTTTCTTTGTTTTGGGTGATTCTTTTGGGGTAGATGTATTTATTTGTCTTGGTGTCTGTATCTCATTTTTTGGGGGAGTTGAGTTGATGTCATTACGCTAAAAAAAAAATAAGTTGGAAACTCAAAAACTAAAAAAAAAGACAGCTAAGCTTGCTAAGCTTTAGAACTTTCAAGAATCGTGTATGTTGTATTATTTGAACTTAATTACAATTATTAAAATTATAATTATACTTTAACTTGTGTAGACCAAACCGAGAATTCAGTACACAATACAGTTATTTATACTTATCGAAAACCTTATTCACTCTAATAGTGACATGAAACAAAACAGATGTTACAATGAAATATAATTTAAAAAACACTAAAGAGCTAAATATGTTAAACCTTAGTAACAAATGTTTGTCAACAAAACTGAAATAAGAATACTTTAACAAAAAAATAAATAAATATTCAGGAGTGATTTGTAAATTGATCTGTGATCAATTAGTTGGACCTGACCATAAAGCCTGACATTTTAAGTGCCTGCTTTTTTATATTTCAATAATATAAGTTGTTCCTACTAAATGAACTATAAATTTACGTATTTATAATGTTGACTTCTACATTTGAAAGTTCAGTCAACCTTTAAAATAGATTTATTTGACAAAATTGGAAACTGGATTTTTTTTTTTAACAGGGACATTTACCTGCTGAGACAAGAATGGCTGTTCTTTTGGGGGAGCTTCTTGAAGATTTTCTTGAACTTCATTTGCTTCTTGAATAAGCTGAAGTGAATCATCTTCCTCACTAGATGGTGTTGTGTCTAGTACAGCTTTAAGCTGTTTCTTTCTTTTATAATAACGCTTTGAGTTCATCTTTAAGCTGTTTTTTTTTTTTATAATAACGCTTTGAGTTTTCCCGCCACTGTCTTTTTTTCTTTTCTAATTGCTTCTTAGTCAGCTCTTCAGTTTTCTTTATTTTGCCAATTTGTTTTCGTTTTTGATACCTGGAAGCGTAAAGCATGACATTAAATTAGCATGTCTCATACAGTAATATTGGGGGGGGAACTTATGTACACATGATCATATAGTATAGACTTGATGCTTTCTCTCTGTGTGTGTGTGTGTGTGTGTGTGTGTGTGTGTGTTCTATACTGGGCCTGAAGTTGTGTGGTGGGGTAGAGCTTAATTTTAGTCTTTGAAATGAATTGAAAAATTAAGTAAACAAGAAAATAAAAAACAAACAGAAGAACAAATAACTGTTTATTTATTATTTAATTGAATTATTACTAAATTATTAACAATTTAAACTACTGAAGTTTGTTTTTAATTAAAATTAATGACAGAGTGCAGCAAATTTATTAGGCTGCTGTCACTTTAAGAGTCACACAACCTTAGTGTGGCGGGAATTTCCCACAGCATGAACAATGCACTCAATCCAGCACCAAAGTCCTGTTATAGTAGTGGCTACAGGGTTGTGTGTGTGTGTCTGTGTACTCTCATGTACATTTCCTAACACTGTAGAGTGTTTTTTGCTAATTACACCTGCTGTAA